GGAACTTGTATTTGTTGCCAGTCTCCCTTCTGGTCTCAGCCTCACTTTAGCAGCCCCTGCACTAAGAGTCCCCAGGGACTCTCCCATCCGCCCATGGACCCTGTCCATACCGAGAGACAAGGACTCTTTTCCTGTCTAGGAGAGAAGTGGAGACTGACTGCTCTCCCCAGTTTCATCTAGCAGCTGTGTGTTGAGCACCGTGTGTGCCAGACCCCATCTCCTGTTCAGGGCCTGACTCCTGCCTGGTACACTATGGGCCCCTGGAGGCCTGGACAGTACCTGTGGAGCTTATAGGTGCGCTAATGCCTGGCACGAAGCAGGCAGGCACTTAGGAAAGACACTCTATGTATGGGACAGAATGAATGAATGAATGAATGAATGAGGAAATGAATGAATGACTCAGTGGGAGGATCAAGCTGGATCCCTGCAAGTCATAATTCAGCAGCTAACAAGGACAGCTTTGTGTGACACCTGTGTGTTTTTCCAACCTTAGAGCCCAGGGACGTCCAAGAGACAAAGAAGGGAAGCTGAGATGACCCAAAGCCTGGGTCTTCTCTGTGAGCCTGATGTGTGTCCCCACAGGTGGCCTGAATGTGGGTGAGTTCCGGAAGGTGCTGATGAAGACAGGTCTGGTGCTGGTCGTGCTGGGTCATGTGAGCTTCATCGCAGCGGCGGTGCTCCATGGCACCATGCTGCGCTTCGTGGCTGCCGCCAGTGACGCCGTGGTTCTACAGTACTGCGTGGTGGACATCCTCTCTGTCACCTCTGCCATCCTGGTACGGCCTGACTGGGAGGTCAGCAGGAGGGAGGGACCGGGTCTCAGCCAGAGTCCCCAGCACTAACCCTAGTAGCCACCTACCAACGGTGCAGGCCCTCAAACACTCTCTGCCTCAATTTTGTCGTCTGTAAAGTGGGGGTGGTGGGAGTGTACCCAGACTGCAGAGGTCCCTAGTGGGTGTCTGAGGTCATCCACAGAAGGTGTTGAGCTGAGGGACTGGGCACACGGCTAGTGTGAACTGCTGTGACAACTTCACGGTGTGGCAGCAGGGAGGGAAGGAAGATCAGCTTAGCTGGGGACCGTCCAGAAGGGTTTCAGGGAAGTGGAAACCTCTGAAGGAAGATCAGCTTAGCTGGGGACCGTCCAGAAGGGTTTCAGGGAAGTGGAAACCTCTGAGCTGGGTATTAGTGGATGAGTAGGTGTTCCCAATGGACTGTAATTATCAACCCAGGTATGTGGCATGCTGGGGCTAGCAGGCAGAGAAGCGTGCCAGGGTGGCATTCCGTGTTCAGCCTGTGGCAGGTGCTGGGAACGGCTGAGATCTGCTCTAGAGACACGGAGCCAATCAGACGGGCGTGAGTTTAGCGCTAGAATGGATTCACGTGAAGTACTTGATATCCAGCAGCCGTGTGAGACCCGGGCACCTGCCCGTTTGATGAACGACCAAAGGAAGGAGCCTAGTAGATTTAGGTTTATAAAGCTCTCCTCTGGGTGACAGCTAAGGCAACTGCAGACTTGGGGGATAACCTGCTCAACTTCCAGAGATTGCTGACTCCTGGCTAAGGGATTTCTCTCTGTGTGCGCTGGTCACTGCCTACAAAATGAAGCTCAGACAGCCTGCTGGCCTCTGGGTGTGGTGAACCAGGCTCTGACCTGTAGACACCCCAACAGCAGTGTTGGACTATGTCCCAGTTGATACCTGTCTTGCTCAGCAACCATCTGAAGACGACACGGACGGTGGCCAGCTCAGGGCCAGGGGGCTCGGAGCTGGATCACTTCCCTTTGCTTTCCTTCCCCAGTGACTCCTCACCACTCTCAGCTGCTCAAGCCTGGGGGGAGGCTCACCCCACTTCCTGCTGATGGGATGCCTTCCTGTGAGGTCATCCTGCAGAGAGGGACTGAGCCCAGAGGAGTCACTTTGTTGTGACTGCTGTACACATCCACTACAGAGGGTGAACCTAAGAAGCTGGATAGGCTAAATGACGCTAGTGATCTGGGGGGCAGCCTCTGGGCTAAACAGGACATGGGAGGCCCTGTCTCTGGGGGTCGAGGGGCATGAGAATGTAGGAAGTGTGTTCTTGGAGGGGATGCTCCGTGGGTAGCAGCCAACAGCTGTGATTGGTTGCCCCTATCCAGTGGGATGAGAGAAGATAGTGGCCCAGGGCAGATAGAGAGGGACAGAAATTAGGTCATTAAGTTGGGCGGTGGTGGTGCACGCCTTTAATCCCAGCACTCGGGAGGCAGAGGCAGGCGGATCTCTGTGAGTTGGAGACCAGCCTGGTCTACAAGAGCTAGTTCCAGGACAGGCTCCAAAGCCACAGAGAAACCCTGTCTCGAAAAAACCAAAAAGAAAAAGAAAGAAAGAAAGAAAGAAAGAAAGAAAGAAAGAAAGAAAGAAAGAAAGAAATTAGGTCATTAAGAGCCTGGGGTAGCCTTGGATCCTCCGAGGGGTTTCTCTGTCTTTTGGGGTACCAGGGATTGAACCCAGAAGTCACACATGCTGGGCAAGCATTCTGTTCCCGGGCTCCATCCTCGGCCCCCTCTTGGAGATTCTGAATTCTGTTCACAACATATACTGTCTGTCTAGGATGGACTTCATAGTAAGATGGTGACCCTGGGGCTGGCCACCTCCCATGCTTCCTCATAAGGGGCTGACCACTCAGTCCACACTAGATAGCCCTGGCCAAATTGGAACTTTTTATGTGAATCAGGCTAGCTTTAAACGTGCCACAGTGTCCATCTGCCTCAGCGCTGGGAATACAGGCGTATGTCACTATGCCTCATTCCTGTTTTCATCTCGTTTTGACTTTAGTTCCTCGACAGTGGGATGTGTTTCTTCTAAAGTCTTTCCCATCCCAAGGAGAAATGTCCTGTGTATCCCATGGCCTACCCCCTGGCATGTGCCTGCAAACAGAATACATAGGACCCTGTTGGAGAGTCATGGCTTTAGGCAGTGGGGAGCCCTGGAAGGTTTGTAGGCAGTGAGGGATAAGCAGAAGGCATAGCACCTTTGAAGCGAGGCTGAAGCGAGCCCAGGGTGGGAGTGGGGAAGGCAGGAATAGGAAGATGGTGGTGGGATCTTTATCCAAGCGGGCATCTGACCCCACAAGCTCTCCTCCAGCCCCGGCGTCGGCGTCGCAGCTGATCTGTACTTCCCCTGCAGGTCATCATTGCCGGGATCGCAGCTGTCGTCCTGTCTCGCTACCTCCCCAGCACCCCCTTGGTATGTGGCACCTCCTCGGATGGGACCGTGGGTTGGGTCAGCAGCCCCCTTGTGGCCAAGCACTGACCAGTACTCTCCATACCTAGCGCTGGACTGTGTTTAGCTTGAGTGTGGCCTGTGCTGTCCTTTCTCTGACCTGCGTCCTTGGGCTCCTGGCCTCCATCGCAGTGACTTTTGCCACCCAGGGCCGAGCGCTACTGGCAGCCTGTACTTTTGAGAGCCCTGAACTCCCAACGCTGGCGCCTGACTGTCCTTTTGACCCTACTCGAATTTACGTGAGTGCCTCAGCCTTGGGAGGGGCTGGGAAGGGCTCTTGGGATCCCTGCACCCTTGTCCCTAAGAAGATGCTTGTGCCCCTGTCCCCTGCAGAGTTCTAGTCTGTGCCTCTGGGCCATCTCTCTCATGCTCTGTGTGGCAGAGAGCGTGTCTGCCCTGCGCTGCGCCCAGCTAGTGCATCGGCTGCTGGAACTGAGACCCTGGTGGGGGAAAAACTGCCACCACACGGTGAGTCCCCTCCATAGTCTTGGGAAGTCCCTGCTGGAATCCCTGGCTGATGGTCAGCCCCACCCACCTCTGAAGAGGGCCTCAGATAACTGGGGCAAGAGTTTGCTCACAGCCACCAAAGGGCTCCAAAGTCCAGGGAAGCCAGATCTGCCAGCTAAGTCAGATAGCTATATCTGACCCTCCCAATCTTGAGGGGAAGCACGAGTTTGGGTGTTCAAACAGGAGACACTCGGGAGTCTGGCCTGTCTTGAGTGTGTGATAGTGATGTCCTCTCCCATGCCCCAGAAGCCTCTAGTCCTCCCTGCCTCCAGTTTGGGGATGTCCTGGAGATAGAGACCCCAGTCCAGACCCAGCAAAACAAACAGGTTTTTGTGTCTGCAGATGCAAACGAGCCCAGAGCCCCTGGATGGCCATGACCTCCTGAGCTGCGCTAGCTCTGTGCAGCTGACCATCTGACACCTCAGTGGGGCCATGACGACCAAGTCTGGACATATGACCAAGCCTGCACTGACCAGTGCCCAGGGAGCCATGGAAGAAGCCTAGATGAATCCAGGATTCCCAGAGCAGGCCCAAGAGGGCTCAATGGACCCCTGGGGACCTGGGAGAGGGCTTTGAGTGCCCTCCCTGGCCGCCCGGCACTCTGCACTGAAACAAGACTTTATTTGGAAGTTATTAAAAAGAACAGAGATGCTTCATGTGCTGCATGCAGAGGGAGATGGGGGCTTTGCCAGGGGCCTGCACGTCTTTCCTACACAGAATGCTGTGGAGGGACTCTGCCTGCGTGCGTGCGTGCATGAGTGCATGCGTGTGTGTGTGTGTGTGTGCGCGCGCATGCGCGCGTGTGTGTGCATGTGTGTGTGCGTGTGTGTGAGGGGGCGCATGTGGGAGTGAAAGAGGGTGAGATACAGAATACAGAGTGCTTGAATCTGTGATCATCCGAATGCTAAGAGGCAGGCTGGGCTTGGGGACCCCCCAGTTGGAACCCTGGGAGATCGTTTTTTTTTACCATGGTCTCTAGCCAGCAAGAGCTGGGACAGGAAGTGTTCTGCAGGGAATTACATCAGGGAGTTTCCTCAAAGCCCCACAGCCCAAGAATCTGCTATGTCTCCCCCACCAAACCAAAAGACTTCATCTGGGCACCTCTCCACCTCCCTCCAGGCTGAGGGTCACCCCAAGGGAACGTCCCCCAACCCCCGCGTTGTAGAAGGGCCTCAGATCTGTGGGTTGGTGGAAGGTAATCCAACCGTCTGAATAAAGAATATGGAACAGGGGAAAAAAAAAAAAAAAGTCATCTCGGTCCCACTAAGGGAGATTCTGCCTCATGGGCCGTGGGTCCTAACGGCTGTCTTGCTTAGCCCCTTCCTTGCAGGGTTCGCTTCTCCAGAGGCCTCCCACAGTGCAGACCCCAGAAGGGGTCCCCAGTCTGGCCCCCAGCCTGGACAGACACGAGGGAGAGGAAGCAGAGGGCCGGTGAAGGCAGGGAGGCGGCGAGCTGGTTCCTCCCCAGCTCAGAACTGGGAGGCGCTGCTGGGGTCGCACTGCAGCAGGCGCACGATCGACGGGTCGCTCTTGGCCCCACGGATGAATTCCTCCAGAGACAGCTTGCCTGAGGGGCCAAGGGAGAGCTGTCAGTGAGGAGAAGGCGGCCACAAAGCCAGGCAGGTGGTGGCAGGCAGTGCGGGAGAGGGAAGAAGGGAGGCCGCCCACCCCCGACACTCACCGTCATTGTTTGTGTCCATTTGGCGGAAGATTTTCTCAGTCCTCTTTTCCGGGGTCGATTCGTCCTCCGGCATCTTCATCACGGACGAAACCATCTTGTAAATGGCCTGTGGGGTTGGGTTCGGGAGTGAGACGAGACCACACTTAAGGCCCCATCCGATCTCGTTCTCTATAGACATCGCAAGGTCGTGCTCCTCTGGCCATGGAGGATGGAAGGAAAATCAGGAAAAGGCTTTTCTAGAAGCGGGTGGTAACTTAAGAGTGCCCTGGACCAGGTAGGTCCCTTGGAGGGCCAGGTGGGAATTGCTGACAGAGATAACAGACAAAGGCACTGCAAACTGCAAGCCCCAGGTGGATACCAAGAATCTGGCGTGCAGAGTCAAGAGAGATGTTGGAGGACATCGAAGTCCTGATAGCAAAGGGCATAGAACAGCAGTGTGCTTGCTGCGGGTAAGGGCTGAGTTAGCATTCTCACTCGGTGACCAACAGGGGGCGCTGAGGGAGATGACACTAGACTGCGCTGCGGTCTGTGGCCGGCAGGGGGCGCAGAACGCCAAGGCAAGCTGGGACCCAGAAGGGGCGGGAACATTATGCAAACGAATGCAAATGAGCACCTGCCACGGGGTCAGGGACAGCCTGAGCTCTGCTGGGCTGAGGGCGGCAGCTGCCACGTGTAGGTGCTCCAGAGGCACCAAAAAGGAGTTTTTTCAGCTAAATGTACAGATCATGTAGTGCTCGACCTGTGTCATGGGCTGTTTCTGCTCCCTGGAGCTCAGAGACCGCACTAGCCACGTCAAATCTTCAATTCCTCCAAGAAAGCTTCCCTTCTTCCCTACGCCGCCGTAACCCTCCCCAACCCCTTCGTGTCCAGCCTTGTCTCTGAACTACTCTTTTCTAGACTCTGCTTCAAGTCTGTCCCACACACTGCCTCTCAATGCTCTTTCCAAATACTAATCTCCACTACCATGTCCCCAAACCAGCAGGCCGCCCCCTCGCTTCCAGCACACACAGACCTCCCTCTAGGCCCACGGTGCACTGGTTTCTTAAGGATGCTGCCTCCCACTCTTCCCTGGGGTTCAGTTTACAATGCTTTCCAAGCAAGATCGTCTGAGATCCCGCAGGGGTCAGGGCCCGTCGGCTGCACAGACCCCCTGGGCTTTTCCTTTGAGGACGTGTCTCAGGAAGTAACTAATTCCTTAGCAGACTGTGCCACCGTCCAGATAAGAACAGCGACTCTAGCTACTTCTAAGATTCCCAAATTCCGGTACAGTGCCTTGGCACATGGCAGGGAACTCCCTGTTTAAAGGCCATTGTCACCTCCCACCATGCTCTGTACCAAGTCCAAACCATTTGTTTTTGGCATTCAAGATACTTCACAAGCTGTCCAATGCTGGCCTCGCCACCACCAAGCCCCGCTGGAGGGGTAATTCTGCCACAATGGGGGCCTTTCAGATTCCCCAGCATTTACAGGCGCCGCCTGAAATGAGCTACCCTTTATCATGGGAGCATTATGAGCCAGGTCCTATGTGCAGGAATTTTGTTTTGGTTTTCTTTCTTGTTCTGATTTTAGTTGTTTGGTTGGTTTGGTTTGATTTTTGAGGCAGGATTTCTCTGCATAGCCAGAACTCACTCTGTAGACCAGGCTGGCCTCGAACTTAGGGACCCACACCTCTGCATCCTGAGTGCTGGGACCAAATGTGCATGCCTCAGTACATGGCTTACATGATTTCCAAACTGTACATCAGCTCAGAAAATCTGGTATCAAATCTCCCTTTTCCTGGATAAGAAACCAAGGTTTGGGAAGGGAACTAATGGAAGGCACCAACCAGATCAGGGCTTATTCCCTCTTAGCTGCTGGACGGATGCTTGGGCAGTTTGGAGTGCCAGACCACAGGAGCTCTGGAGTGACATCCTGGTGCATTCTGCACCTTTGTGTACCCTTGGATAAGAATTTAGCCTCCGTGAGCCTCAGTTTCCATCTGTAAAATGGAGCACTGTGTCCATCGCATCGGGATTGTTTAACACAGTGGGTTCCCAACCTTCCTAATGCTGTGACCCTTTAACACAGTTCCGCATGTCGTGGTGACCCCCAACCCTAAGAGCATTTTTGTTGCTACTTCATAACTGTAATTTTACTGCTGTTATGAATTGAAATGTAAATCGCTGTGTTTCCTGATGGTCTTGGGTGACGCCTATGAAAGGCTCACTCAACCTGCCCCCGAGGGGTCCCGACCCACAGGTTGAGAACCACTGCTCTAGAGGAGTAAATGGAATAAAAGAACAAAGCAGTGCTTGGCTGGAGCGAGCGATCACTGAGCAGCAGCATATATGGTCGTTATTCATCCACTGTGTCTTCTGCTGTTTCCGTCCCCTGGTCTTCCAGATGTTATATCCATCCCTCTCACTGACCTCATCAGTGTGGTCTATGCCTTCATCTTTCCTATCAGAGTGAGCCCCAAGAAGCACACTGCCTCTGTCCTCCCTCTGTGCCACTAGCCTGTGTAGGGCTGGGATGGGAGGTGGACTGAGCAGCGACTTAGAGAGTGGCCCTTCTCCTTGTGACAATCCTTCTAATTAATTAATTAGATTAGATTAATTAGATTAAGTCTGGATTGCTCTCTCCGTGTTTCACTGGAGCCTACTTGTCATTAATCAGGCCCTGGGGTGCACAGTACTCTGTCTGCACCAGCTGTCTGGAGCCTCTGAACTAGCATAGTGGACGTCGGGGTCTAGAGGGCAAAAGCTGGAAGGAGAAGAAGAAGAAGAAGAAGAAGAAGAAGAAGAAGAAGAAGAAGAAGGAGAAGGAGAAGGAGAAGGAGAAGGAGAAGGAGAAGGAGAAGGAGAAGGAGGAGAAGAGGAGGAGGAGGAGGAGGAGGAGGAAGAGGAAGAGGAAGGTGAAGAAGAAGAAGAAGAAGAAGAAGAAGAAGAAGAAGAAGAAGAAGAAGAAGAAGAAGAAGGTGAAGAAGAAGGTGAAGAAGAAGGTGAAGAAGAAGGTGCAAGGGTCCTTGAGCAATGGTCTAATTCATCCAAACCGAGATTTACCAGTGTACAAGTGGGAAAACGAGCTTCTCTCTGAATTCGTGGGCATCCAGCAGATCCCTAAGTAATCCTCCACCACGACCTTGACCCTTCCAGCAGGGACCTCCAGAGTTCCCCATCATCCTGCCTCCAAATAGGAGTTTGTGGTTTGCAGGTTTCCAGGTTGCTGGGACAAATGCTGAGGCAACAAGCTACCGACATAGGGAACACGTCGCTTCCCAAGGCAGCCAGTGCCGCTCAAGCTAGCGGGGAGCCATGGGCTGGATGATCTGGAGCAGATATCAGAAAGGGGCCTCGTGCAAAGCTGCGTGGCAGCACCTCTCAAGACACGGCTTGGGGATGCTGCCAGGGACATCTTAGCCAGTGCAGAAGATGTGTGGAGAGAGAATGACTGACAGCCACTAACATTTGCTGAGTACCAAGGATCTACAAAGCCCTAGATGGAGCTACCATTCCCCTTGATCTCTTTTGAAAGCAGGGGCTTGATACCCTCACATACATCATCACACATTGCTGGCAAAAAAAAAAAAAAAAATGCTGTAAAGGTTCAGAGGAACAGTGGGCAAGAGCCACAGGTAGATGACTTTCTGCTATGGCTCCACAGGTAAAAGTGCTGCTGTCAAACCCGACAGCCTGAGGTCGACCCCTGTGATCTACATGGTGGAAGGAGAGGGTTGATTCCCGAAAGTTTTCCTCTGACCTCCTTATGTGTGCTACGGCATGAGCATGCTACACACACACACACACACACACACACACACACACACACACAAATAAATAAATAAATAACTAAATAAATAAATAAATAAATTTTAAAAATGTTTAGAGGACAGCCAGGGCTACACAGAGAGAGACCCTATCTAAAAACAAATGTTTAAATTAGGCAAGGAGCAGGGTGGATAAAATAGAACCATAGCACTCTCCACCTTCAAGGCTGAGCAGCAGTGACTGGTTTTTTGAAATAAGTCTAATGTGTTCCATACTTAAATTTGTACCAAGAAAAGGCATGCATGACAAGTCTCTAAATCGCATCCTGCAATCAGCATCACTGTCCCTGCTCCAGTTTTATAGATAAGCAACCTAAGAGCTAAAGTCCATCCAGAATTGAAAGCCATGTCTCCTTACAAAAGGTATCCTGGAGTGACAGGCCAGCCTGGGCTCAGGCCCACTCTGGACATCAAGCAAGTCACTCTGCCTGCCTGAGACTCGTGGGTCTGCTCTAACGATGCACTCAGCTCAGGGTCTAAGTACCCCATGCAGTACTGGGTCTGATGATGCCTCTGTCAATTAGCTAGGAGATGCCTGGGTATCCAGATGGCACGTGAACATTGCAGCCAGGTGGCCTGCTCACAGACTGTGAGGTCTCCTATAAGTGCCTTCTTCCAAAGTATGTTTCCTCCTCAGTAATGAGAATCATAGAACAGTACTTGTGGGCTGAGGATGAGGCTCGGTGGTAGAACACTCCCTACCAGGCACAAGAACTGCATTTGATCTGAGCACTGCAAACAGATGGTTGGATGAATGAATGAATGAATGAATGAATGAATGGGCAATACTGGGAATGGAGACACACACCTGTAACCAACAGTTCAGGGGGCTAAGGTGGGAGGATCATGAGTTCAAATTCAGTCTGAGCTACCAACCAAACCAAACCAAATAGAACTGGTCTAAACCAGAAATAGCAATATGGGAACGACAAAGCAAGATGGGGAGCTATTCCAAATTAAATCAGAATAACCAAGATGGTCATGGTGGCACACCTTTAATCCCAGCAGTTGGGATGCAGAGGCAGGCAGATCTCTGTGAGCCGGAGACCATCCTGGGCTATACAGTGAGTCCCAGACCAGCCAGAGCTACAGAGAGAGACCCTGACTCTAAATAAATATGACTAGCAAAATAGGACAACAAATTCAATGTAGGAACCCAGACCAGGACCAAAAGGGGAAAAAAAAAAAAAAGCTACAGAGAACATTCTGAAGAGAGAGGACAATAGCGTACGATCTCTATATTAGAACAGCATTGTTTCCGTGTCAGATGCCTTGACTTGGATAATCATGCTATGGGTTATGTAAGAGAATGTCTTATTCCTAGGAAAGACATCCTGGACTTGAGGGGTAAAGGGTCAGGGCCGAGAGCAACCTGGAAGCAAGGCCCACAGGCAGAGATAAAGCAATGCCAGGAAACTCTAGCAGGTGAGTGGGGGGGGGGGAATACATGGGAACATCCTCAGCTTTTCTTTCCTTATTGTTGTGAGGTTGGTAGGTGAGGAGAGTTTCATATTGTTCAGGCTGGCCTCAAACTCATTTGGTAAGCGAGGCTGGCTTTGAACTCCTGACCCTCCTGCCTCTAACTCCATAATAGTTTCAAGCTCTCAGCTTTTCTTTAAATGGAAAAGCATTTCCTTCTAAAGAATTTTGTGAACGGGATGTGAACATGAGCCCCAGTCACTGCTGGAGGACTAGGTGGGTTGAGAGGTTAAGAAAGGTGTTCAGAGCCCGCGGCTGAGCAGCCGGTGTGGATGGCGGCCCACCTGCACAATCTCCAGCATTTCCTCCCGGCTGATGTAGCCGTTGCCGTCCAGGTCGTACATGCTGAAGGCCCACATGAGCTTCTGCTCCAGGCGGCCACGCGAGGTCACGCTCAGCGCGATGATGAACTCCCGGAAGTCGATGGTGCCGTCGCTGTTGGTGTCAAAAGTGCGGAAGACGTGCTCGGCGAACTTGGAGGCGTCGCCATAGGGGAAGAAGTTGGCGTAGATCTTCTTGAACTCATCCACGTTGAGGATGCCAGTGGGGCAGTCCTTGAGGAAGCCCTTGTACCACTCCTGCAGCTCCAGCTCCGAGAACTCCGTGTTCTCACGCAGATCCTGCAGCATCTCCGGCCGCAGCTTGCTGTTCTGCTTGCCCATGGCAGACGAGCCAAGTCCCACCTGGGTACCCCCAAAGGAGGTGAAGGGGCAGAGAGTAACGGTTTTGTCTTTTTGGTCACTTGATATCACTCCAGAAGGACCCTCAGAAACAAGACACCCCAAACTCTCATTGACCCAGGAAGAGAGAGGTGGGCCCTAGATGGCACAGCCTGTACCCTGCTCTGTGGCATGCTTCTCTGGAGAGGAGACCCGGAAGAACAGTAAGGGGCTAGCTCACACTCACTGACACCCTTTCTGGCTGTCCCTGCTAATCCTGTTCACATTTTTGCCCCCCCCCCCAGGGGAAATCTGGGGATTAAATCCACTTTCCACATGAGCAAGGACGCTCAGTAAATGAGGTGATCTGCTTCAGGTCACAAGGCCACTAGAGGGTAGAGCTGACCCCCAGAGTTTCCTAGAAGGGTTCAGCTTCTGAGTCCCTGCTGCCCTCTCATGGCTTCCCAGATACCTGCTGAGCCCCGCACAGGCCCTGCAGCACAGACACTGCCAGCTTCTCCTCCTGAAGAAGTGCTCAACAAGAGGCCTGAATCTGGACCCCAGAGCCAGATCACCTGAGTTCGAATCCCACCTCTCCCTCTTACCAGCTGCGTGCCTTTGGCGATTTCTTTAAACTCTCTGTCTCAACTACAAAGTGGGCTTAATGATAGTACTTACTTCATGGGGTTATTGAAGGGATTAAATTAGCTAATACTTGGGAGCACCTAGAACCATGGCTGGGTAGTGCTACATACATGTTAAGTAAGCGAAAATGATTTACATATACCCAGACGCCACCAAACTTGGCATGATATGCAAGTGCACGTCCCCAGCACACATAGTACCACACGGATCACTAAATGCCCTCGAGAGGTTCTATGCCACTCACCTACCATCCTACGCCACACATGGGTCACCATGCCACCACACACAACAATCCTGCTGCCCCACAACTCACACGCCCTGACACATGGCACCATGCACGACTTCCATCCACTGCACATCAAGACACACCAGCCCACGACCCCACATGTCTCCCACATGCCATCACACGCCAACTCGCATGCTGACACCTCTCACATGGCCAGCTGCACGTGGGACCTTCAGGTACCCTTCTCATTATCTTTCTATACCCTGGGGTGCTGCCAGGTCCCCAGGAGAGGGAGCTACAACCCTTCCCAGACCTGCTGAGGACTCTCTTTTTCTCGGGGGAGCCCTACCCAGCCCACCCAAACCTCTCTCAACACTCACCTTTTACCTGGTTTCAAAAGGTCCCCTCGGGGCAGGGATTACAGTATGAGGCTGAGGACAATCAGTGGAGGGGGAGTAGCCAGGCAGTCCTAGGCACAGATGTAGGGGCGTGTGCAATTTGCTCCTGAGACTGGAGATACCAGTAACACAGGGTGAAGAGGGTTCCTTGTGCATGGAGGTACATGAAGCTCCGTGCACATGAGTATGGGTGCATGTTGAATGCGTTTGTTCACACATGATGTGGGTCCTGGGTTCTGCACCGCAGCTGTCTCCCTGTGCGTTTCTATGCATGTCTGTATGTGAATTCTATATGCGTGTTGAGCGATCATGCACCTGTCACAAAGAGAAGAATGTATCCGGGATGGTGAGGGGACCTGTGTCTGTCCTCAGCAGTGTGTCATGCATGTTCCTGTAAGTTGGTTCCCCCCCCCCCTTCCCAGATCAGCCTCTTCTGCCCCAGGCTGAGGAGCCATAGAACAAGTGTGTGGGAAGGGACTGAGGAAATGCGCAGGGCTGAACAGGGGAGCATATCCCTTACTCCCCTCCTCAAGGTTCAAGGAATTGGGTCAGCGGGGCGGGGGCAGAGCGATGCTCCGGGCAGGAGCGCTCTTCCAGGTGCCCCTTCCTCCTGGCCACCCTCGGCATTGCCTCTCCAAGCTGGAAGAAGGCTCTGTTTTCTCTGCAAAGACCCCCGGTGCCCAAAATAGGAGGAACCTCACAGCTCGATCCTAGAAACCCGCCCTAGCATCCCCTCTAAGCCTCCCCCGGCTCCGGCCCTGAGCCCCCGCCTCCATCCTTCCCGCACTCGGCGCGAGGTCCCTCCTGGAGGGGGCGCCCGGGACGGACTGCGCGCGACTCCCGGGAGCCGGCCACTCGGCGGTCAGGACCCTGGAGAGCGCCTCGCGATCCCTAGGGGCAGCCCAGGGCTGGCAGCGCCACTGGTGAGACGAATCCCACTAGGACGGGGAGGAGCGGGCTGGGGAGCCCTGGACGTGGGATCCTGACTCCGGGGCTGCCCTCCCCGCATCCCCGGCCCCGGCCGGAGCGGCCCCCACTCACCCAGCGACGCCGAGACACCGACTGCGCAGGGAAGGCGGCGCTGCTGCGGCGCGCGGCGGCAGAGGCGGCCGGAGGGGCGGGAGGGACTGCGAGGGAGACGCCCCGCAGCGTTGGCCCGGAGCCCCTCCCCTGGGGGGGTCCCCACCGGCAGTTAGGCTCCGCCCCCGCCCCCGCCCGGGAGAGAGAACGGGACGCCCCCACTTCCCCGGGCGCACCCTCTCTCGGAAGCACCCGGCTGTGGGAAGACTGGGACCCCCTAGTTCTGCAAGTCGACTCGGGGAGACCAAAGAAAGAAGCAGAACAGAGCCCAGGGACCGCTCTCCTAAACCGGGAACAATCCAGGGCAGTGCCACCCGCTTCCTCCCCACCCCTACCTAGGCACGGGGCCGCCTGTCGCTCCGAGGGCGGGATCCGATAGGCACCCTGGCTGCCCCCGCGCCTCAACTCCGGAGCCAGCTGAGCTGGGGGCTCTTTGGAGAGGCGGGAGCGCCCATTCCCCAGTCTCGAGGTCTTCCAGGGGCCAGACACGCCCCCTGCCTACCTCCGCCTCGGAGAGCACGCCCCCTCTCCAGCCTACTACTCAGGATGTCATCCCTCACCCCTTCTAAGAATTAATCCCACCTCCATGGATGTACCTCGTTCTTCCCAGTACCCCTCCCTGCAAGGCACCCTCTCCTCCCCCAGCCTCTGCGGGTGCAGGCCTGTGACCTGAGAGCGCAGAAACACATCTCCACCTGCGGGGGGGGGGGCGCTGTTTCTGAGGTGGGTAGGCCTCTTGTCTACATTCGGGACAGCTGCTCTCTAGAGACCCCCGAACCCCAGCACAGCTCCTCCTGCCTGTATAGAGGGCTGCACCCTCCCTCCTCCAGCCCTGGTAACAATCCCTACAGCTTAAATTCTGTCCTTTCTCCATCTCTAGGATATGGACCGTCTTGTGTTCTACATTGCCGAAGAGGAAACTGAGACTTGCAACGTTTAATTGCTTTTTCCAATGTCTAGCTGCCAGTGAGTGGCTTAAATTCAAGAGCTCGTTCTTCCATTTCAAAAATACTTGTCAAACATTGCTTCTGCTCTCTGCACTGTTCCAGACGTTGGGCTGCAATCATGCCGAAGAAATGGTGATAGGGCATACATAGTCGGTTCTGTGGTGCGTTGGATAAGCAATTTGAAGAAAGCTTGGGACAGCAGCAGATCGAGAGCAATGGCACTTCAGATTGCATTCCAGATGAGACCAGGAGTCTTAGCTGTGTGGGACAGAGCAGGTCTGACGTCCACACAGCGGCTCACTGGAGCGTTATGTCAAGAACAATGGAAGGATGAGCCTGGTTTCCGGACCTCCTAAAGGAGGTGGCATTGATGGCATTTGTCCCTTCTTGGACAGTTCTTTCCAGTGCTCTTTCTACCTGTAGTTCAGATCATCCTGGCTGCCCAAGGCACCAAACAAAGCTCCCCGCTAGGTGCCTAGACCAGGCCCTTCAGTCTAGCCTTCACCTCTTGTGCTTGGAGGAAAAGAGGGGGTGTACATCCACAGAGCTGGAGAGCCAGACCCGGATGGAATAGGGACAGCTGGGCCCTTGGGAACACCGGCTCCACTGTGTGCCTTGGCTCCTGTGTTGGGACCCCCCAGTGGAGGCGTGAGAGACGCCAGACGAACGTGGGTGGTTCCCAGCTGCCTCCTTCAGGAAGACCTGCAGGCTGACAGAGAGTAGAGATCTGCTTAGGCCCCACCCAAGACCCCTCCCCGGTGGGCCTGGAAGGACAGCCATGCTTGGGACATGGAAAGGAGCCAAACCCAGAATCATCCCCTCTGTCCCCGCGGCTCCTTTCCCCTCCCTCCTCTCTGGAGCTGGAATCTCCCATCATGCCTTGATTTCTCTTCTCCATTCTTGGGTGGAAGGTCTTGGAGTACCCCTACTTCCTCTGGACTGACTCTTGGCTCAGGCACAGGTTCAGTTGGCTTCCATGCTTTCCTTCTTTGGGAGGGTGATTCTGGAACCTTCCCTCAGCATCTTGCCTCCACAGTGGTGTGCTTCCGAGGGTGGGACGGAGTCACCTCGTCCAGGGCATCGACTTTCTTTGCCTGTTTCTGCATGTCACTGAGAGCCTCTGAAAGCAGAGCCTGAGCCCTCCTGGGTGCTGCTGGCTGCTCCCATTAGCCACCTTGACCTTCCCAAGAGCCATTGAAGCACTGGACAGGTTCCTGAGTCAAAGAGGAGGCCTAGGGACTCCCCACACTCCTTAAGACCCTGAGTCCAGCTGAGCGGTGGTGGCGCACGCCTTTAATTCCAGCACTCGGGAGGCAGAGGCAGGCGGATCTCTGTGAGTTCGAGGCCAGCCTGGTCTACAAGAGCTAGTGCCAGGACAGTCTCCAAAGTTAAAAAGAGAAACTCTGCCTCGAAAATTCTCTCCCCACCCAAAAAAGACCCTGGGTTTAAGACAAGTGCCTGGCAGTACAGTCAGAAAAGGTCAGAAAAGGCAGCAGAGGGATTGCAGCTTGGGAAGCCTGGGTCTCTTGCTTCTGTACCTCCTGAGGTCAAACTCTTTGCCTTGGGCAGGCAACATGACAAAAACAGCTCAGGTACCCATGGCATTGGGGTTACCTCATTTGAAGGCCTGCTGTGTGCATGCTCAGGTTCCTCCCGCTAATGCCCCTCCCCTCTTGCCCAGAAGAAAGTGTCCAAGAAGGAAAGAGA